CAGCCCCTCCCTGCCTTTCCGCTTCGAGCTGGCGCACCTCACAATCGCCGCCGCGGCCGAGGAGCATCCTCATTCCGTATGCCGCGGCGAAGGCTCCTCATTGGCTCCCGCGGGGTGGCGCGCGAGGGGCTGGCTCTCTTACGTTCTAAAACGGCTCAGGCGGGGAGGGGAGGGGGGGAGGAAGAGCGGTGTGCGCGAGATAGAGCGCTCTGCAGAGGTTACTATCGGTCACTCTTTGCTCCGGGTCACGGGCTTTGGAAAGCGAAGTCGCCCCGGCGGTCGGTCGCGCGCGCCGCCGTGATTTTTCTTAAGAGGGGACCCGCAACAACTTTGCTTCCTTCCTTCCTACCTCCCTTGTTGATGAAGACGAACAATTGAAAGAAAAGAAAGCAAAAGGAAGAGTTTATGCAAAGAAAGTGCGGCTCATCATCATCATCATAACCATCATCTCATTGCTTAATATGCATGCTTCTAAGTTACCCGTTAGCGATCTGGTGCACTGTTATTAGAATAGCGGTTACTCTGATCGTTGACGTGTTAGCTAAAAGTAGGTACGGCTGAGGCGTAAAGCATTGTGCAGATTAACGGAGGCGGCCAGCCGCTCAGCCCCCGTTATTTAACTTCGCCATCTAAGCACGTTATTATTGGTTACGTAACAAAGTGGTTTCCACACGTTCCCTCCGCCGATATATACGGCGGCGCAGGGAAACCATGAATGGATCACAAGCGGAGGAAGCTTCGCATTCATGTTTCCGGTGACTTCAAAGGAGGGCCTCGTTTTAAATGAAAGGGATTCCCTTCCCTTCCGCACCGCTGCTTTTCCTTCAGATTCTTTGGTGTATAAGAATTCAACGACAACAACAACGGTGTCTTGTGGCACCATGAGAGATGTTCACATTACTTTTTTTAAAAAACTTATATTTTATTATTAACACGGCCATTCCTTTGGAAAAGATTATGACGCGAGCGTCCTTTTTTACGCTGTCCGCTTTGTCACGTGTGAAACGTTGCCTGGCTTGGCAGGCAGACATAGATACAGAGTTGGAGGAGAGAACCGTGTCAGCCAGCGAGGTCGGAGGTCCGGGCAGGTTATGGACCGAGAAGGGCTTAATCTCCAGCTGAGGGGGAACTGCCTCAGTAACCAGCTCCTGTGTGGTCAAAGGGAGTTGAAATATATATTAAAAATACGAATGGTAAAAGTAGCTCAGCATCAGTGTCTGGCATCCACAAAAGCTTCTGACAGTAACTCCACCACATTCTAGCAATAATGGAATATCTGCGAACTATGCATTACCAAAGAATAGTATATGGGGGAGTGATTGGTCTGTCAATGGGCAATTTAAGGAGCGACAGCTTCCCAAAAGGTACCCAATGGAGTGTAGTAGACAGAGTGAAGAAGCAGAACTCTGAAGACCAGGGTTCGAATCCCCACTTGGCCATAGAAACTCTCTGGAGGGAATGGATCTCATAAAACCACCCCTTAAATATCTCACTTACCTTGGAAGCCTTATTAGGTTAGCCGTAGGTCAATTCCAGCTTGACAGCACATAACAACAAGCATCCCAAAAGATCGCTTGCTGGTGGGAATGAAAACTGGAATAACTGGATTATTGACTGAGATAAAAATGGTTCACCCTTAAGTTGGGAAAGGACATTTCTGAAAAATCTTGAATGGGAAAGTCTTATACTATTTTCCGCATCTCTCTTTTTCTGTTTCTCACAGTCCCTGAAGCCAAAGTCCAGGGTGCAAAACACGGCCATTTGCCATGTCGCTTTCCTGTGCCTCTTGTTATGTGCTGTAAAATTGCTGTAAGAATCCTATGAATTAGTTATATGTGGCATAGTGGCATAGTGGATAGAGTGAGGGATAGAAACTTGGGTTTAAATTCCCGCTTGGCCATGAAGACTCACTGCAGGGCGAGGCACTTGTAAAACTACTCCTGAAATATTTTGCTCACCTTGAAAGCTTTGTTAATAATAATAATTGTGTTGTCATCAAGCCGATTTTGACTTATGGTGACGCTTTTCAGGGTTTTTCAGGTAGAGAATACGAAATATTTTGCTCACCTTGAAAGCTTCGTTAATAATAATAATTGTATTGTCATCAAGCCGATTTTGACATGGTGACGCTTTTCAGGGTTTATCAGGTAGAGAATACTCAAAAATGGTTGACCATTCTCTTCTTCTGGGGGTGTCCTGGGACTGTACAGCTTGCTTATGGCTTACACGGGCTGGCTGTTCTCCCAAGGGGTACAGTGGGGAATCAAGCTCCCAACCTTTAGCCCTGCAGGTTTCTACATTATTGAGCTCTTCAGGGCTTGCTGTAAATTGGTTCTGGCTTGCCTACGTATCTACATTATTGAGCTCTTCAGGACTTGCTGTAAATTGGTTCTGGCTTGCCTACACATGACAACAACTTGAATTAATGACTTCCGAAATGTCCCATCAGGTCTTGCAAACTAAAAGACATGGGTTCCTTTATTAAGTGGATCCATCTCATGCCTCCTTTTTTTTTCCTACTGCCTTCCACTGTTCTTACCACCATTGTCTTTTCATGATATGTCAGGGCCTGAGAAAGCTGTGGTGCAGTAGGGGCAGAATGTTCATCTGAGATCTCTTTCTACCACCGCCTTCATACAGCACCTTGTGTCAATGCCATTTTTCTGTCAGCTGGAGAAAACTAAGTATTTATATTGATGCTTTCAGAAAGAGGTACATTTGACAGTGAATGTTGTCAGTTTATGACTACGATTAATGAGAATATTTACAGAGGACAATAAGCAACAGTACATTCACAAAAAAATTTTAAAAATATTTTCCTACTTTTCTTCTTAGCAAATTCAGAGGTTAGATTGTAAAGAAATATTTCTCTCAGTACATTCCTTTCTATGGCAAGAACAGATAGAGACATGAGTCCTGAATCTTTTGGTTCCAACGTAACTTAATTTTAATAAAAGCTAGTTTGTAAAGTGCTGTTTTCTTCCTAATTCCAAACCGACAAATAAAGCCAGAGAGTTATGGTAACATTTGGGAAAGCTTTAAACAGGCCCTTACCTAAATTATCTTTAACTTCCTACATATAATTTGTTCAAATCGATCATATCCCTCTGCTACAGAAGTTCCCAAACTTTGGGGGATAAAGGCACTGTTTTACATTTTTGATAAACGTTTATACCTCCCCTCATCTCCTTTCCCTTCAGTTCAAACTCCTGAGATTTTGAATTATTTATAATTTAAAAGAAATGCAAAGATTTAGTGAAAATGTTTTAAAGGCAAGCAAAAATAGTTTTTGTTGCCTAAAGCTTATGATTGTGGAGGTGGAATGGAGGAAAGGTCAGACAGAAATTGACTAGTCCCTCAAGGCATAAAAGAGGCTGTGAAAGACTTAGTATGGAGAAATGAGGATGAAAAAAAGACATTCTCTTTTGAAATCTAGCAGTTACTACATCTGTCCCAAGGCCTAATCTGAACACACAAGTCCCTGGGAAAGCATGTGCAGAATGGGAACACTGGCAGCTATTTGTTTTTTTTTTGGGGGGGGTGGATAAAGTTTGTCGTCTTGCTCATATTCCTTCACATATTACATCACCTTCCTTTACCTATTGCACTGCATAATATACACAATTAAATATAGGCCATGCTGGCGGTGGGGGGATTCTGAGTCTTGTAATAAAAAGGAACTTTTTCAAGCACTGGTGGTGTTGTATCAGGTTGATGACAGATAAGTAAGTAAAGGAGCTTCTCTAATGGGATAGCAAAGTGGGCTTAATCCCACTAGATTGCTATGTATTAGCACTTTCTGTTCATGCTCTCATGACAAAAGGACACTACCACCATCAGTAGAACTTGTTTTGTCATTTTTCCCCATCCCTCCAGTTAAAGGGATCCTCAAAAGAGCTGGCAACGTACAGAGTTGTAACTGTTGATATGGCCACCTCCACAGGTGATGCCGCTCTCATATGAGAGTCTTGGGGCAACTGCCTTTTCTGCCCTCTCTTAGAAAGGTACTTTGTCCAAAATATGATAGCTTCTGTTTAGGCATTTTAGTTGCTAATTTAGTTTCAAGTCAATCTAAGTAAACCTCCAATACTGCATTTTAAATGAACCATCTTTTTACTGTTTGGGCTTTTTCTTTGTCTGGCTTTTCATATTTGCATGTCATAACTGGAAATGCCATAGTACAGATGATTATGACCTTGGTCCCCAGCAACATATCCTTACACTTGAGATTCTTTCCCAGTTTCTTCATAGTTACAAGGCCGTTCCTAGACTTTTGTGGCAACTCACACAATAGCAGCTATGTATTTGAATCCTTAAGGCGGACATGGACTTATCCAGTGACTTCAAACTGTAACACCTTTTTGCTCTGGGCCATTATTGTCTTGCCTTAGCTGCAAGATTGACAGCTGTGGTTCTGAAATCCAGGTGATGTTTGGATCCGCCCCGTTGGCCCTGTCCGTGGTCCTGATTGTGCCTCTGCTTGAAGCCATCATCAGTTTGCAGCTTACTTTATGCTATTAGTGAGCTGTTTGCCTGCCCGTGGGGGCAGAACTCGTCATGGGACAGGACAACTGGGTGCAAAGAACCAAAATCCAGAGAGAACTGCAGCAGAACAGCAACATGTGAGAGGAACAAGACCCAAGGAAATGCTACTTTTCTTGCACTGCAGCTTTCAGAAATCCTCAGACAGCATGATCAATAGCCATACTGGCTGAGGGACTCTGAGAGTTGTAGTCCAAAAAAAAGTGAGTTAGAGAGAGAGAAACAAGGGCCTTCCTTGACTCTGACTTCCTTACAGAGCATCTTTGGTTTAAAAAATCATGACCACTGAGCTACTTAAGCACAGGCTGGTTGGCTGTCTGTTGAGGCTACTGTAGCCCTCATGTTTTCTGCACTGAGCCAGAGGTGAAGTATCTCACTCCAAGGTCCTTTTCAATTTTATGAGTCTCCCACATAACCACAAAAGCTCCGTGCCTGATATCTCCTTGGAGCTGGTGTTTCCCTGGGGGAGAGGAGGGGAATAACTGCATTGGAAGCAGCAACTGAAAGAGCTGTTAATGTGTAACAGCAGTCAAGTAAAATCAGCACACAGGGTAAAGTCAACAGCCAGGATAAAATGAACAAGACAGGATAAGTCAATAGGTCAAGTAACACTTAAGTGGGGCCGTTCTCACAATCCAGGTAGCTATTAATCATCATTATCCCATTGTCAGTGACATATTGAGATGGCCCCAATGACAAGGGGCAAGTACTGGCAAGGCTTATAAAAAAATTATCTGGTGACCTGACCTAGTGAGAGAAAGATATTGGTACCAGCAGAACACTAGAAGGATGAGGAAATAAAGTATGGTGCCTTTGGGATATAGATTGGTTAGAGCAGGGGTTGTCAACCCCCGGTCCGTGGCCCGGTGCCAGTCCATGGCCTTGCCAGAACTGGGCCGTGGATATGGATCTCCAACCCCCAATTGATGATTACGGGGCCTCCCTCACCGCAAACATCAGTGGGGCCTCTGAGTGCTGTCCCCTGAAGTTGCCGGCCACAGAGACTGGCGCAACGTTAGGAAGAACAACCTTTAGAACACGGCCAAAGAGCCTGAAAAACCCACAACAACCATTAGATCCCGGCCATGAAAGCCTTCG